AGGGACATCTGCTTTCATCTAGATCAAGAAAATAGATATCAGATTTTGGAGGGTTTTGGCATTTTCCTCATCACTGTAGGTTTCATCTGCCTCTGCGCAGGCATTTCAAATACAATCATCCTTACATATCCTTACATTAATTTCATGGAAGAGGAAAAAGCAGAAGATAAATGGGAAGAAAGCCATAAACATTTCCAATAACCCTGAAATTTATTCTCCAAGAGTAATTATGTCACATTATTTATAGTCATTCAATCCATCAAATCACCTAATTATTTCCACTTCCAGGTATCACTATAGAAGATGTGAAAAGATGCCTTGGCTATCACTTAGATGCCAATATTGTATATGAAGACTTACATGCCAATGTTAATATTGATGGTGGTAAATGTGAGAAGATTAATGTGAAGGACAACTGTACGTATATCCTTATTTTACACTATATCTTTTGCTTAAGGAAAGATGATACCAATTGCTTCCCTTTTCATAATCAATATAGTTATTGCTTTAGCGAAAGGACAAGTCCAGTAGATGGGCAGAGGTGAGGCTGCCGTATTTCCATACTCCCAGGTCAAGCCAGGCTGAGCGTGTGTTCCCAGTAGGCATACACACAAACACACTTATATAACACATACGTACATACTCACATTGCTGGCCACATAAATCAATATAGACAGAAGCACAGCACTCAGGCAAACATAAACAGCACAGATGGCTTCATCCTGTTCTCCTTTCCACCTGATCAGGGTGAAAGTCTGTTAGTGGGAAATATCACAGAATCACACATGGTTGAGGTTGGAAGGGTCCTCTGGAGGCCATCTTGAGCACTCCCCTGCTCAAGTAGGGTAATCGCCCCAGATATTCTCCCCAGACAGCACAACCCTCAGGTATTTCAGACTGTCCTCAATATACATATACAGCCAATACAGATCCTTCCAGCAGCTGACCTTAGACATTCAACTGAAGGAGCAACTGGGTCCTTAGTCTCCCCCTGTAGCTGGAACGCGGATATACAACACCCCAAGGCTCACAGCTTCACTCCCATTGCTGGTACAGACCACCTGATGCACGCTAACACACACATCTACCCACACAGAGTAGCTGGTCTTAGGTGCCCAGTCTAGCCACCAGCTGGCCCTTGGATCCTCTTACCTCCTTACACAGTCACACACTCACATGCAAATAGATCTCAGTTAACCCCAGGACCCTGAAGTTTCTACAGGCCTCTAAGACCTGGTCACTCCAGTAGCCAGCTCCTCCAGTTGTCTCACTCTAGAGACATGTACATATCTAGGCCAGACTAACAGCCACTTTGATACTTGGCTCCCGAGCCACTTGCCCTATTCACCTGCTAGTCTGGCTTGATATTTGCTAGTGATCACATACTGACATATGTATCCTCACTCGCTCCAGTTATTGGCACCACAACACCAGGTCCCTAACAGCCATTGTCCAACTCTAGTTACTGGTACACAGACCTCCATACACACATATGCATGCAGAATAGAGTCTCCTCACCCAGGAAAAGAGTTAGAAATGAAATTTAATGGTAAACCAGGACAGACTGCAAAGATCAAGGACAGTACATGGCAGACAAGCTCAGTGATCAGCCACATTTCTATATGCAATCAGACCACATTTTGCCTTTATCCCTCTGTTTTCCCCCATGCTTGTTCTTCCCAAAGCCACCTTGATCCCATCTTACCTCTTCGACAGCACTCCCCTAAATATATGCTAAGTATTTATGTCTGTGTAATCTCAAAATGTCCTTCTTTGCATCCACAGAGACTTTCCATTGACTCATCTTGCTGTTGACTCATCCTCAGCCCCATCCCGTGGGGCTAATGGCTCTGCTGGGACAGGCCTGGGAAGAGTCAAGGAGGGGCTCTCTTTCTCCGATTAGACTACTTGTGTTTCCCTGCCTGTCATTGTTCCTCTCTGCTCCTTTGTGTGTCTGGAGAGGATCCTTTTATCACATGACCTAAAAATTGCGAAAGGCCATGAGATTTACTATTGTGCACAGAAGAGGCAATTCTTTCCAGTGCTCTGTTCTTGTGTTTTAGTTATGAAGCAGAATGCTGTTCCAATTCCTGCCCTTTTCTGGTTTAGCTCAAATGATACAGTAGCATTACTTACATTATCCTTGGTTTGTTATCAAATGGCTATGATCTCCATAATGTCTCTCATATTGTCCTACCCATTCTTTTCTTTTCAGATATAGGGTTTTCTAGTTTAACTGCAAAATAGAAGATTTCCTCCCACATAAGAGATATGAGCAAAGAAAGATTGAATTTCACCACAACCAGAGAGTGAAAGGTTCTTCTCTCTATGGTCATTTTATAGAGATTGATTGGTTGCACTAAAAGGACAGCTGTTCTTCAAGATTCATAGGCATTAAAGTTTCTTATTCATCCTTTCTTCTTTCTTTCTGCAGCAGAATTTAAGGATGATGCTATCATTGATGATGTAATTTCCTTAGTTGATGGAGGGAAGATTGACTTTTCAGTTAAAATAAAAGAAATGTTACTGCGAGGATCCAAAATGGTTGATGTAGAGGATTACATACAGTGGGCTAAGTCTTTGGTTGATGCTCCAGTAGTGATACAGCAAAGGGTAAGTACAACTTCTTCAAAGCTGTGGCTCTTACAGTTTGAAAGCTTTTATTCTAAGATGGAGGTGAGACTTCAAGTTGATCATGAACTTTCAGATACATTCTTAATCTTGACAGTTTATTCAGATGCTTACTCTAATGATGGGTATAACAAAAGGATTCAGAACTTCGGAAAAGTCTGTTATGCATGGTCTTTTTTCTTCTACAGCCTTCTCCAATACATACACTTGTTCCAGTTAAGATGAGAAACGCATATTTAAAGAAACAAAACTTGGAAAAAGCAATTGAAGACTACATTACCGAATACAGCGTGTGCAAATGTGAACCCTGCAAAAATGGAGGCACCCTTGTGCTGGTAGATGGAGCCTGTACATGCATGTGCTCAAGCTACTTTAAGGGAATTGCATGTCAGATTCCCAAATCAACATTAATTAAAGGTTAGTAAATACTCCAGACAGACTAAAATGAACATATTTATTATAGTGAACAATATCCTTACAAAATGAGTCTTAATAAGGATGTCATGGTACTCCCTTGTTACCTACTGCTATCAAATCTCATGAGTATATGGTGTGGAAGTTAGTGTACATAAGTCACTGGGTTCTCTCCACAGAGAGGGCACTCAATTTAGAGTACATTGTCCCACATACATTGTTGTGTCTTGGAATGACACCCCAAGTTCATTTAAGTAAACAGGAGCTTTATTGAAGAATAGCATGGTAACAGTAAGCTGATTTCAGGCAAAACCAATCTCACCACATGATAAACTATTTTGCCTTCAGTTTCCTGCAAAAGCACTGTGTTTGCTAACACATGCTCACATTTCATAATTATTGTGCTAGCTTAATATTAGATTGGTCCACAAAGGGGAAGCAGGCGATGAATGCAGTTCCACAACTAATAATGTAAAAAAATTGCTGTGCAGTAAATTCATTCCCTGTGGCCACATTTCTAAAGCACAGGTGCCCAAAATGGGCCTTAGAACTTGATATTCAGGGAGCTTCCCAGGGTGACAAAAGTGTTTAAAACTCTGGGCTCTTAAGCAGTAGCACTGACAAGGGTGTTTTCAAAAGCCAAATCTGTGTGATGGGATGTGTGCTGGAGGGTGTGATGATCTGCAGAGTCACCATAGCTGAGAACGTAAAAATTGAATCATGGTCTACCTTGTCCACCCTCAAAAGTGCCAAGTAAAAAGTTCTAATTAATCTTTCTGTCACTGCACAGAAGACAAAGAGATGCTGGACTAATCCTAGTGTCTTAATACCAGTTGTCACTGATGGAGGCTGGAGCTGTTGGAGTGCTTGGTCGACCTGCATCAACGGAGAAAGCACTCGAACTCGCCAGTGTAATAATCCTACACCAGAGCCTGGTGGCAGACCGTGTCAGGGAGAAAGCATTGAAAAACGGCCTTGTGGAGAAGGAAAATAGTTATGCTGCTCAAAAACAGGTAAGTAGCCTCGCTAAGTACTAAGGTGTTATTGCCCTTTAGAATAAATGGTAAGCCAATATTTGGGGCATTTCAGTGATACAGTTGAAGAAATGATGGGTAAGTCCATGTACATGTTTCATTTAAATCTGTGATTTAAGACAGCTTTTAACAACAGCCACCCTGTAGCTGGAATTTGTGAATGTTTAGATTCGTATTTGAATGCCTTGATCACAAAACTTCAAGAGTAAAATGGAGTTCTGGATAAGAACAGACTAAAAAATCCAGCTATAAAAATCACAGTATGTGTTTTGATTAATTCTTCATTAGATTTATTTTACATTACAGTCATATTTGAGACACAGTGAAATCATGTTCTTGGTGAGCCATGAGAGTACTATTTCACTTAAATTTTGACCAATATATATTTCATAGCTACTATCTTCTATCACTTCTTTACTTTTTTTTTTTTCCCCTTTTTTAGAAGACAATAATGGATTCCAAATCAATTCTACAAATCACAGTATCTGCTGGCCAGCTAGCTACCTGAGAGCAATGGAATGCCGTGACTTAATAGCATCTGCAGCTTAAATGATCGCTAATCAAAACAAAGTAATACACTAATAAACATCTTAACAGCACTGATGCAGTGGGCTGATGCAGTGTGGTCCATCTTTTATCTGCCTGTGGCCATCATGAGAACACAAATTATTTATCTTTGTTAGTCAATGGCATAATGATGTCCCCTTGTCAATGGTGGGGTTTTTTTCGTAATTCTTTGTGGTATGTTTTCAAGAATTCAAATCCAGCATGAGTATCAGAATAACGTATATGAGCTCAGCTGATTGACAGTATATTGTTAGTAAAAAACCTGAGATAATGAGGTTCATTATCTTCAGCAAAATGCCTTTGTGGACTTATTTCCAGCCCCACATCTTATATCTAATTCATACACTGAATCACCAGTGTGTTTATGAAGACATGCAGTTTTACTAGAATTATTACTCTTGCTCCTCCAGACATTTGCTGAATAGCCTGACATGGTATCTTGTCTATGTCAATGTGTTAAAGATTGTTATTTGAAATCAGAGGCACATTACAAAGGGATAGAAAGGTTATTATATTATCATCTGTATTTTTAGCAAAACTTCCAAAGGAAAGGAGGCAAAGGCTGAGGCAATTGTGCTGTCATTGCACCTATCTGTTAGTCTTCCTCAGTGACTTTTGAAGCTAGCAGACAATTACTGGAAAATTTCTTTGGAGTGGGGAGGATAGTTCTCAAAGAAGTTTCATGAAAAACTTTGAGAAAACAAAAAGAAATTAATGTCCCTGTTGAGGAAAAGGTATTAATGTTAACTCAGCTATTCTAGTAGACACAAGAAGATCTACATGGAAGCAAGATACAAGAAAATAAATCTTTTTAAAGTTAAGAACAAAGGTATATGAGGGCTGAGCAGTTTTGAAAAACAGGAATGGTAAGAGCCATCAGATCAATGAGATCAGTCACTTGCATACTTGCAGTCCAGGTCAGGAAGAGTCCCCTGGAACATTCTTTACCTGCCTCCTGCTCACCACAAGTGACCCTGAAGACTTTTAGTACCGAAGACCAAACATCACAAAAGAAAGCAGGAGAGATAACTGTCTCCCAGAACCCTACAGTAGCAGAGCATTCAAAAAGTGAAAGTGTACTGATGATCAAAGTGAATCACACCCCATGCTACAGAGGCAGACCAAAAAAGGCCTGTCACTGGTTCCTGCCACCACGAACAGTTCCCTTAACACCACAGAAGTGGAAATAGTCTTCCACTAATTAATGTTCCCAGTGCAAACACAGGATTTTCTCAATGCAGGGAGCACACATGCACCTAGCATCCCTGCAGTCTTCTTGGGACATTTCAGAAAGCCTCAAATCAAACACTTAGGTACTTTGCCGCACCGTGCAGCTGGGATAAAGCTGCTCTTGGTGGAAGATCTGATGTTACTGCCTCACTGTGGG